ACACGGGCAAGTTGGCACAAACCTTCTGCACTTCCTGCACTGCGTTCTCCTCAGTGCGCTGGCTCAGCCTTCTCTCAATACCTCCAACGCCGCCACCTCATCGCTCTGCTCCAAGGCCCAAACACTCCAACAAAGACATTTTCCTTCTATTGTCTAGTCTGATTTTTCACTTCAGATTCCCGTTTCATCCAATGCAAATAATGTGAATAAACCTTTTTTTTTTCCTGAAGAATATAATTCGTAGGAAAGCATTTTCATGGCAACCCCAATTTAATCTCCTTTTTTCCCAAGATCATACAAGCGTTCATCTCCACTCTCATCTGCTCAACTGTCACATCCTCCCATCCCACTGTTGCTCTAATTGCGCGCTGCTGGGCCCCCTCCATCGTTTCAGTATCCCTCGATAATGGCAGGATCAGAACTGAAGGCAAAAATCCTCTGCTCTGCGAAGCTGCATTACAGCCTTTCATTTCTGCTTTTGATTCTCCCGTAAAACCGAGGCGAGGAAAGCGCTGGCTTATTTCTGATACGGTGATGTTGCACCACGATCTCTTATTCAGTCTGTTCTCACCCCAGTGGATTTTTGTTTGGTATTTTTAACTCTAAACTTCCCGAGCAGCCACCTCCCGTTAGGTACTCGTTACAACTACTGGTCCTACTTGGGACATATATACACTTTTATCACCTCACTGAGGATAACAAGATGTTTTTACCCTTTCCAGACACCAGGCAGTCTTGATCCTCACCTACGGCCAGTTCTTTGTCCCTTTGATTTCACCTCTGCTTAAAAACACACCAGCAAAAGACTCTGTCTCCTTAAATTCACTATCAAAAGTTACACAGAAAAGGCCTGGGTGCCAGTGGCTGGAGAAAAGAATCATAGAATGGCATAGAGAACACCAGAAGCACTCGTCATCTGCAAGCGGAGTTGGTAACGGTGGCTCGACGCAGGGGCAGATACTAGTTTGTTTGGCACTTGGTCTGTCTGGGGTATTTTGAAGGATTAGAGGGTTTATCCAAGACAAGATTTTTCTTTTTCCCTGTATCTCTCTATACAGCACTGCATCAAATGTCTTAAACTGAGCTACTGCACACCACAGCCACTGCACTATTCTCACCCAGCAAGATAAAAACGGTAACAGAGAACACTGCCAGATTTGTTTGCTATGATCAGCTCCCCAGTAGCCCTGGTGCATCAGTCAGTAAATGCACTTTCCCCCTGCTCCAGCTGAAAGCAGATACTGTCCCATCATGTAATACCCTCTATGCAGGCTTCGAAAGAGAAGGAGCCTCATCAAATCACACCTTAACTGATCTAGAAGCCCTCCCAGAGCAGTTCTGCAGCCTGGCCACTCTGCTCCCACTGCCGGACCAGGGCAGGGTGGCCTGTGTCACTGCCCTAACTCATCCAGTTCCCCGTCTTGTATCCCTGCTTAAAGTCTCCCCTAATGCCCTAAGACCCAAGACGTGCAGCCTTCCGCTGCTGTACCTCAGTATTTAATCTCGTAAGCTGTTAATGCACAGAGCTGTTCTAAGCGGCGGGGTTCATCCTTTTCCATACTCAAAATTTGATTCCCCCTTGTTTGAGTGTGGCAAAGGCCACTCCTCCGACCTCAAGTCAAAAATCATTCCATTTTAACCCAGTGAGAGTCCAGGCGGGTTTCTTCCTACTATAAGCCTTCCTTTCCTTCAAAAGCGTAACAGAAAATTTGTACCTTCACATCTCTTTGCGTTTAAATTCATTTATTCACTGCGGCCGTAGTTTTTTCACTACGCGAAATAAATAAAAGGCCGGAGGCAGCCAAGCCTCGTCTCCGGAGGCGCAGGCAGCTGCCCCAGCAGGGCTGTGCCGCTCGGCCAGCTGCGACGCAGGGCACGCAGCCACCACCCGGGACACGGGAGGAGGCACAGTGGAGGGGCTGCCAAACCCGCATCTCCCCAGGGCCCAGATGCCCGCCCGGTCCCTGCCCATGGCAGGGGGGTTGGAACTAGATGATCTTTGAGGTCCCTTCCAACCCAAACCATCCTATTTTATTTCTATTTTTTCATTTCTCTTACAGGGAAGAAGCTGCCGCCGCCTTTCAGCTGTGAATTGCTGTCCCCTTCCTCGGCTCTCCCAGAGACAATCCGCTCCGTTCCCGACCGGAGCAAGAGTTCGCTACGTGACTCCGATGTTCGAAGGAGTCGATCAGCTAGCCCCCAGCCACCCGAGGAACACATTGCTCCATAGGAAGTGGTTCATAAAGCATCTCCAGCTTCTTGGGACTAGGCTAGACAAGCAGGATGCTAAAGCAGCTAGTGCTTTGGTGGGAGACTCAAACCACTCAGTTGTTGGGGCACACACTCCCTTGAGCTTTCAGCACCAGCTAGGCCACGGAGCCTTTTCCACGGATATTCTTGAAGACAGAAGTAATTTAAACTCCCGAACGCAACTCATCCTACAGGATCTATTTTCTGAGCAGTGTGGGAAGGTACGGGCCTGCACAACCATTTATTAGCACAAATAAGAGTGTATGTTTAACGGGTAGAACAAAGGATTATTAAATAAAATTCCGATTAGTTCTGCTGAAAGCAAAATACCAGCTGGAGCCTGGGGTAACGCAGAAACACTATCAGCAAACATGTGCTGCCAGTGCATCTGCACACACACACGCCCCAGCTCCGACCACGGAGGAGCCTCAGACTGGAAAAGCAGACCCAAGGCGTCCCCATCGTGGTCTCTGTGCTCTGATAGCTCAGTCCTGCTCGCCGCTAGGCAAAACCTTTGGCCCGACAGTGCAGGGCGTAGCCGCACAACCGGAATGAGAGCGATGAAACCAACTGGATGTCCTCCTACCAGTAGCCACACTTTGTCAGCTTTCCAAGCGGGAACACTGCCACCCAACACAGCTATAGTAGAGTCCCACCGCCTGGAAATGCATCACTCTACCTACAAGGGGACAGCACCCGCAAGCCAGCCTGCCTAACTGCAGCCATATTCATTAACAGCCCATCGTTTAGATCCTATTGCAAAAGTTAATGAAGCCACTTGGCGAGAGGGCAGCCTCCAGGAGCAGAAGATAAATAATGTATATAAAAGGGGGCTGGGAGGGAACTGGCACATCCTTGCAAGGTCATGCTAGAATGCATCAGTGGCTGGCTGAGGCTGGGCTCCTCTGGTAAGGAGCCTGGAGCTATTTATGACTCATGTAATTAATTAATGCCAACGGGCGTTCTGCTGCAGGCACGTGGGAGACCAAAGGGAAATACGAAGAGAGCAGGTTAGGAAACGTAGTGGAGGTGGGGGAGAAGGATGACATTTCTTGCGGCAAGACATGCTTTGAAGTAATTATCAACAGTCCAAACAGCCAGCAGCTCTTTTGGCTCCATCAGTACAAAATCAATTAGGAGCTTTAAAAATGCATCAGCCCGTGTTTCAGCGAGCAGCGAGAAGAAGAAGTAGCCATGTGAGGCAGGGCCGTCGCGTTTCGTAGCGCCGCGCACCACCAGACCCACAGGTCCCCAGACCCACACATCCCCAGACCCCGCAGTGCGGTCCACAAATGGTGTGACCAGTAGAGGGAGCATGGTTAATGCCTTCCAAACAGTAAATTGTTTTCGGATGAGGAGAATTGAGGAAGAGCTGACAGTTTGGTTTTATATCTCTCTGAAGTCTGAGGACAAGTTTAAGTGATGGCAAGAGAAAGGAGAGAAGGGCAAAGTGAAACGTGGGCGTATGCCTTGAAAGCCGAGTCCCTGCAGGCACTTAGGCCTCTGGAACTACACCTTCCCTTTCCAGAGCCAGAACACCGGGAGCTAACCAAAACTCACCGATCACATTAAGAAAGATACCACGTCTGTGGCTTTTCTGCTTCAGTTTGCAATACTGCAGTCTCACACCGAACGCTCAACATGTGGTGATGCTGAGTCATGACGCTGCGCTGGCACAGACCGTTTGAGGACAATGAGAGCTTAACCTAATTTTGTCCCTTTGTTTGTCCTCTGCACAGAGGAGATCAATCAGTTCCACTCTGCCTCCACATCCCCACGCATCCAGTGCCTAACGCATTATACAGCAAAACTGTAAACACAAATAAAGTGCACCCTTTCCCTCCCCTGCTGCCCTAAAGTCCTTCTGGGCTGTCCAGCTCGCACCCAGCCTGCATCCTCTCTTACGTCTCTTTGTTGCCAGAGTATCTTCTATCAGTTCCCAAACGTATCCATGCATTGTCCTGTCTCTCTCATCATAGCTGCCTGCGACAAATCCCTTCACACAACGAGGACTGCAAATTCGCTTACAACCCAGTGTTTTCCATTTCTCCATGCTTTTCTCTCTGGACACTTGCAGGGGCCAAGCACCACTGCATCAGCCTGACAACAGCCATCTGGATGAGCAGCAGAGGCTGCCTGCAGTCTCAATCCCAGTGCGCAAAGGCTGGGAGGCTGCAGGATGCTCCCCTTCGAGCCTTACCCACCTCCAGGGGCTGGGGGATCTGGCTTTCTACCCTCTGATCACTGCCAAAGCGCTCAGATCCTGGCTGGTGGGACTCCCTACCGCTATCTGCTATTTTTCTGGAGCAAAACCATGCAAATCAATAGGAGAGATAAAGAAAAAGAAGCAAAGAGTAAGTGAAATGGCAGTCGGTTTTAGTTTCATAAATATATGAGTGAGTAGAACAAGAGCAACAAAGTACTCCTTTCTGGTGGGCTGAGGAGCAACAAGAGCCTGAGTCTCCAGGGTAAAACACAAGCGAAGCAAACGACAACACGAACACCCACTTGGTATTCGTGCTCCATGCTCCTGATCTGAGCCTCACCAGCTTTAAGAACGCTTTGGTTAAATACTGTAATGCTCCCAATTACGAGGGATCTGGGTTGTTTATTTTCTAAACAGATCTCCCCCCTCCCCACCGGAAGATCCCACAAGCGCAAGACAAAAGCAGTCCTGAAGAGGTGTTTCACCTCTTTTGGCTATACAATCTCCACAGCTGGCTCGATTTCCCTAATTGTTTCATACTGACCTTGAGGATATTTCGGCTATTAAACGACTCCCGTTCCTTGAAAGATGATTTACCAGTCATTGTATTGTTTCGCTCTTCAGCTGTAAAGAGAAAAGCCACCACCAGAATGAGCTTCAGATGGGAGAACTGCGTGTGCTGTACTTCACCCCCCACTCTCTCCCTCCCTGAAGTCAGCTGCCAGCTAATAAACCATCTTTGCCCAGTTCTTAGTGCAAAAAACACTTCCACTTTGATTTTAAATGGAACGAGGCTGAATATGCAGAGGGAACTGGTGCCTCTATCAGGATCCCCTACCTCACCTGGAGGAAAGACCCTAACTCATAGCTACTGTTAGGGTGATTACGTAGGGCTGATGGCTCAGTGCCACACATCTGTGTCTCTCTGGCTGATTTTAATCCCACATCCTGCCAGGGGGTGAGAGTCAGCACTGTGAGCGCTTGCACCGCCTGGAACAGCACCAAATACCAGACCGAGCACAATGCCAGGCATGATCCGGACAGCACCTATACAAACCTCTGCCGCCGGCTCCGGGAAGCACATACGTGTGGTGTCCATGCTTCTGCAGGGTGGGCACGCAGCCACACACACAGACGTTAAGAATAGCAACCTAGGCCTACAGCAACTGCCAAATGCCTACGTCTTAAATCCATTTCCCCAGAGCATGTCTGGATTTTTATATAATCCCTAAGTACATGATCCGTTCTTTCCACAGGACCTCTGCCTCGTTTAGTCAATATATTCAATATTTCTTTTTCATCTCCAGCATTAGCTATGAAGTCCCACTCACATCTAGCATGCTATTCAAATCCTGCATTGAATACAAAGTGACTTCCACGGCGATCCGTGTAACGCTCCCGCCACTGTGTCCGAACGCCTCGCGCGCCTCCTGGGGTTGCTCAGAATCTAGATTCCTAACGCCAGACGCAGCTGCCCACGTGCCTCCCAGAGCAGAGAGCCACATCAGCGCTTTGGGCTCACATTTTCACCCATTTCCAAGGCTCAATTTGAGAGCCCTGTCTTTTCAGGGTTTCCACGGCCCGAGTATGCTTAGCTGACTATAGTAGATCCCCAAAATCTGCCACTGGGCACCCAGGAAAGTGTAACACGAACCAGCTGCTGTTATCACTGCTCGCACAGAGGCTCACAGAGGCAGTCACGGGAGAATATTCGACATAACCTATTGGCATTGCATGGAGGCCACTATGAAAAGCTTTAGTTTTTTTCGAGCGGCTGAGGGAGCTGGGACTGTTTGGTCTGGAGAAGGGGAGGCTCGGGGGGGACCTTATCGCTCTCTACAATTACCTGAAAGGAAGTTGTAGGGAGATGGGGGTCGGTCTCTTCTCCCACATTGTGAAAGACAGGACGAGAGGGAACGGCCTCAAGTTACGCCAGGGGAAATTTAGGTTGGATATCAGGAAAAATTTCTTCACAGAGAGGGTTGTGAAGTATTGGAACAGGCTGCCCAGGGTGGTGGTGGAGTCCCCATCCCTGGCGGTGTCTAAAAACCATGTGGATTTGGCGTTGAGGAACACGGTTTAGGGACTCTGACAGTGCAGGGTGAATGGTTGGGCTCAATGATCTTGAGGGTCTCTTCCAACCAGACGATTCTATGATTCTAATGCTGTCAAGGCTTGCAAACTACACACCAGCATATGCATGTCTGCACAGGGAGAACAAGGCTGTGATCCACTGCCCCTCCCTAAACCCGACGCATCTGAGGCTGCTTTATAAAGTAACGCGATAAGAACGATGGCACAGACTGCTGGAGCAGACAATCTTTTGGCAGGGACAGCAGACACTACATGCTCGGTAACAGCTCACATTCAGTCTCGCAGCCGCCTGAATCCGATTTAATGAGAAAGACACTAGAATCGTGTTCCTAAAGCAACGGGCAATCTTTAACTTGACCAAGGAGGATCATGTTTTCATCTTGTTGAAAGGTCAGCACAGCACATCGAGCTGTTACCGAATTTTGGTTTAACGCTGGGGCACAGAGAGCCCAAGACTTCACAGAGGACTTGAGTGCATTTCTCTCTGGCCCAGATCCTACGAGTGCTACTGGGCAACAGCGTTTCTGAAGCTATGACACAGAATCTTAGAAAAGATCCAGAAAATGCTCAAAGCATGCCTGACTTCTCCAGCTCTGCTGACTGCTTTTTCATTTCCTTCTGGGTTTTGTTTAATGGCATCTCCCCACAACTTTCTATTTTTGAGATTAAGAAAAATCACAAAATTAAAACAAAGAAACACAAAAGACAGCAAAAGCACTTCCCGTTCAGAGGTACTACTTTAAATGCAGTTATCAGTAAGGACGAGGGATACGCACCACTTGGATCGTTCCTGAAGAGAGTGTTCATGACTGTAGCATGCAGTTTCACCCTATCCCATTCTTTAAGCATCAGGCCGGAGGCCACGAACCTTTCCACCAGTTGATCAGCGATCACCTGCAATCTGGCAAGGCAAAAAGAGAAAGAACAGAGCAGTGTAAACCAAGGAGAAACCTCTGCGTCATCAGCTTCTCGCTTTTCAGCCAGGGAGGGCAGCATGTGTGAAATGAAGTCTCAGGGAAAGGGAATTAGTCTCTGATGGAAAGCGAACGCAGCCATCAGGACTAAGGTCTAACGCAAAAACTCCTGGCTGTTTTGCAAAGCTTCCTCGGTGATCACTTCTGCTGCAAATACTCCACGAAGAAGGGCGGATTTAGCATAGCAGAGAGCTTGTTTGCAGTGACAGATGTTACTGGGACTTGAAGGATGTATCCTTCTACTGCCAGGAAACACAATGTGACTCTCCTTACAAATGCTAAAATCTGCAGGCCCCCAGGGTGGGGGTCAGGCATGCATCTTGACTCCCAGAGGACCTGCCTCTGCTCAGGGACTTCGACCTGTATGGTGCACCAGGCTGGAGCTCACACCCTCTCTGTCCCAAATAAGCAACCCGAGTCAGTGGGTTTAATCTCTGGGAGAGCCCAGAGCGTGGTGATAGAGGGCACAAACCCAGACAGCAAGTCCTGGTGAATGATCCAGCTTTGGAGCTACTGAGCAAGGAGAATCAAAGGAGTTATCATCACCTTCTCATCTGGCCTCAGTCGGGGATGAAAGCGGCTGTGGCTGCCGGGATCTGCGAGATCTGTCCTAGGATAGGCAGCAGGAACAGGCAGGTGATCAGAGCTCGCGTATCCTCTGTCTCAAGAGCTGAAGGAACTTCCAGCTGCTTCTCCCCACAAAATTTCTGCAGTGCCCGAGCCTTACCAAAAGCAGCAAGGATGCGCTAGAACAAGAGCTTCACGTTGTCGAAAACAAGCCAAGAGGGTTTTTCTCTATGCAGAAGAATTTGGGCTTCTCTCACTGCGTCCAAGGCATCCAACAGCTTTCTGCTCCACTGGGTCCCACCACTCAGCTGGATCTCAGCTGCAGCGGGAGAGGCAAAGTGTGGCCTCTCTTAGGCTGGCTCCCAGAGCCCAGGGCTGCAACACTCCAGACGCCAGCTCCTACCCCACCGCCAGTTTTGTACTGTCCCTCACGAGCTGCCAGCCCCCATGTGACAACTTCCAGACTCTCAAACTACCAATTGTCATGGTTTTCTACCACTTTCTGGCTTTACATCAGTGATTTTTAAAATTAGCAATGACAAAGATTAAACGAGTATCATTACAGACAATACTAAAACAAATTAACAGAGAATAGCTCAAGTGAAAATGGTGCTTTATTACGTTATGAAGTTAATCAAGGAAATAAAACAAATTAGAATGAATTATAATGGAAATTATTTGCCACGTGGGAGGCATCAGAGCATGATCCCTCTCTCAGTCTGAGCCATTATATGTGCAGAAGGGCTTGCCAACCCCTAATTCCGTCTGCAGTTATGCAAGCTAAGTCAGGGTAAATCAAATCTGCTTTATAGCTTAAGCTGATCAAGATCATCCAAAGATCAGGAAGGAACTCCACCCCTCAGCCATACCAGGAACTACACAGAGCTAGGAAGACGTCTTGCATGAGACAGGAAGGCACACACCTCTCATACACAGGCTGCAGCAGTCTGATCCAGCACAGCAAACCACGTGGCTGCTGCTGTCCTCCAGTATTGGCCTCGCAGCGGAGAAACTCTGCTTCCTACGTGCTTTCCCCATTTCCCTGAGCACAGCACCACAGGTTTTAGCAGGCGAGAAGTGCATGGAGCTTCTCAGCAACGATCCGTCTAGCAGAATAGAAAATGAAGCAGCGTTTTCTGGGGGGACAATCATTTGTTCCCTCTTCATAATCACGGTTTGTCCAACACTCTGTCTGCTGGAATCTCAAAGAAAGCAAAGGAAGCTTTCACCACTCTCCATCAACACAAAAATATCTTTTTTCCCCTCTGCAAAGCTAAATGTTTTCTGGACGCTTGCTAACAGTTAAGGAACTATACTAGGGAAGAAGTATCTGACGAATTAATTTGCAGGTGAGGGCAGGACCAGCCTGGGCCAAGGATAAAAACTTAAAATTACTCAGCCCTCTCTGAGCACACTGCTATGCAAAAAACTACAAAGGTGTTGAGGAAGAGCAGTCTGGCAGCCTCCAGGTGCCATGCAAAGCACAAGATCTGGGTTTGGTCAAAACCTCAGCTAATTGTTCTCTGTGAAGGACAGAGGAGACATCAGTCCTTTCTCAGGGGGGTAGGTGGGGGTTTTCAAGGCAAGGTGGACTTGAAGACCTGATTTCTCTCCCCTGGCAAAATCAGCTCTGCCACCTCTAACACACATCAGCATTTTCTGACAGTGTTACAGCTAAGCAAAACGGATACAGCTGGCATCTGAAGCAGACCACAGTGCTAGCACCAACAATTTGGCTGTCTCCAGATGCAGGCAGACATCACTGCCTCGCTTTAGACCCTACTTATGCTCTACAGCACTTCTCTACCAGCTCCTCAGGTCGCAGATTTTCAGATGCGAGAAGACTCACAAGCATGGCACCTCAGAGATGATCCAGAACTCGGTGACTCAGAAGAAAAGAGGCCCATACCTCAGCTCTAGGAGCTGACACTTGGAATGCTTTCTTACACGAAGCCACCAAAGGGCATTTGGGTCATCCAGTGTGTGCCTCCGTGCTTCTGCCTTGTTTCTCCCTGCACTTCTCTTCTCTCTCCTGGCTGATCTCTGGCTTGTCCTGGTTCTCCACCTGACCCATTTGTTTTATCTCACCTCTTCAAGGGTAGAACAAACTTCAAAGTGGAAGAGCCGACAAGAGGAAAAGACTTCAATTCCTACTGCCTCCCAGCAATTCTTGCATTTTCATTTTCCCACCCATTTCCTTATCTCACTTCCGATCTCTTACTTCAACACAGCCTCCAAAGTGCAGTTTTAAGCAGGGGGCCCTCCTTGTCTCCTCAGCCCTCAGGGAAAGGAGATGCCAGAACATGTCCTTTCTTCCCTAAGCCAGTCTCTTTGCAGACTCTCTCATCCAGCTGCACTGCTCCGTGCTCCCCTGCTAGCTCCTGCTGTCCTCTAGTGAGGGGAACAGACACAAAAGGGCAGTGCTGCCAGAAAAAGAGAAGGCTAAGGCTCAGGGAGAGAAGGTTAAAGCTCTTTAGGCTACTCCCTTACCCACTTCCACAGCCATCTCACAACCGGCAGCACGGAGTACAACAGCTCTTACATTTCCCCAGTCTTCCAGAAAGCACTAAAAGGAAAGACAGTGCTGCCACTGGTGATGTACTTGGCAAGAACAAGATGGAGGGAGGTTGTCCAGACACCGCCACATCCCGGGCAGCACCGTTCGTAGAGCTAAAGCCATCAGTCACAGTGGCAAACAGCACAGACACATGCACTGACACCAACCAGACTTGGAGATTTCAGACCAGCAGCTCAGAAGACAAGCATTTCGCACCCAGCACCTGTTCCAGGCTGCCCACAGAGACAAAAACCAACTCTGTAATCAAGTCACGCTTTTCTGAGGAGCTTCTGGTATAACTGGGATTTAAGAATAATTAAGTGCTGCAAAATATGTCAGGCTGTCCAGATTAATCCGGATTGCAGGCTGGGAACTAGACAGCAGAGGCCAAGTTGTCCTACCTTCTAAGTCATCTCAGGGGTATCTCCTTGGCCACCTTATCACCGTGTCAGCCATGGCATCATTATTCAATCTGACAGACTGCTACAGAAACAAATGACACCTTTCAGCCACACCACCAGTGAATGATTTAAAGAGCAAACACATCACTGCCTTAAACCAGTTTAGGAAACAAGAATGACTTCATTTTCCTGACTGCTGGCCCAAGGACTGCCAGCGGTACCCACCAGCTTCAGACAGCAGAGGGTTTCTCTGGCACACCACTACTGCCGCCGTGGCACATTGAGGAGGAATGAAGGAAAGGAGCGTGGGGAGCTCACCTGTCCGAGCCATCCTTCATGTGGACTTTGGCATAAAGGACGTCTGTCATGGCAGGGTCGTCGTTCATGTACTCCACTCCTGCCACCTCCACGGTCAGGGGCTTGCCACCAGCAATTCGGCTAAAATGCAAGAAATCCCTTAGGTTAAAAAGCAAAACATCACACCTGCTTTTGAAATACAAGGCAGAGTATTCCTCGTGCATGCACTAAATATTTGGTTTTACTAAGGGCATGACACAAAATGTGTTTTCTTACTATAGGTAAACACAAATTTGGGGTTAAGTGGGACTTCAATGTTACATATATCATATGGGGCAGTGAACTCCATCGAGTTCTTCTCTTTCCCATATCTTTCAAGGTTGCTTGCACTGAAAAAACCCAAACACAAAAAAGGCTCCCTAATTTCTAACCCTCGAAAGGCTACAGCTGCTATTGTCTCATCACCTCAAGAAATAACGTAGGAACATTTAAATTCATACATTCAGTGTTTTGGACACACATTAAGTCAACTTGTCAGTGTTCACAGGCCATCTCAACGTGGAGATCTCCGTTTACATTTCAGAAAACCCATCAGCAGTAAAACGGTGCAAGTTCTCATTCCAGAGAAGCTCTTGCCTTCCCTGCGAAGAGAGCGATCGTGACACAAAGCCTCCGGCTCGTCGATTTTCTCTGGGAAAAGCACTCGACAGAGAACGCAGTTTTAAGTACATTTCAGCATCCACTTACAAACGCTGGAAGTAAACAGAGCTGTTTTAAAATCAGCTCCAGCTACTCTTGCTGGAAGGAAGGCGCAACCGAAAACGCGTGTAGGATAAAATCTGCACTCCCACACCTGCAGACACGCTGTGAAGCCTATCCTGCTTCCAAACACGCCGCCTCCTTGCCTTCACCACCAGAACATCACGGGGAGGCAAGGGCGCCGCAGCAAAAGCTCGCTGTGCGTGAGTGCCGAGGCCTCGTGGAAAGTACAGGGAGTGTCTGGGCAGGCAGAAGTAATAAACACGAGTTAACGACGTGAGCGTGACTTTGCTCTAACCTTGCTCACTTCTGTTCAGCCTGCCCTAGAGACCGCCTTCGAGGTTCTCGGCGAAGCTTCCCAGGTGGAGAGCGTTGGGTTCCCCTTCCGGTGTGTTTACTGGGAGGAAAACAGCACAAGGGCACTGTTGTGTACTTCACACCGAGAGCATTTCAGGCCATGTATTCTAAAAAAGGTCAAAAAGGGCACATCTACCTTCATGTGGTACTGCCCACATCTAGAAGAGTAAACGAACGCTAATGAAGGTTTACGTGGGTAGAAGGGAGCCTAAATTAATTTTCAGAGTATATTTATTTGGGTATGGCAGGGGAAATAACCTAAAGGTTATATTCAACTGTTGATTCCCCCTCCGCTAAAGGAAATGGAGGGTAAAGACCTTCCCTGCCTCAGCCCACTTATGAGGAAGCTGGCACTTTCCAAACACTGCGGGCAGAGCCTTCCACTGGAAACGCGCTTGTATTTCTGTCCAACGGCTGAACAACTGGAGCTGCCATTTTAAAGGCAGAAGTATGAGTTTTGGCAGGCAAGTTTGCAGATGACACCAAGTTGTGTGGTGTTGTGGACACGCTGGAGGGAAGGGATGCCATCCAGAGGGACCTTGACAGGCTGGAGAGGTGGGCTTGTGAGAACCTCGTGAAGT